GGGAAGGGAGGGATAAGGGCGGGGAAAAGAAAGAGGGCATTACGATTAGCATGTATAGTGCGTGGGGGGCACGGGGAGGGCTGTGCAACACAGAGAAGAGAAGTAGTGATTTTACAGCATCTTACTACGCAGATGGACAGTGACTGTAAAAGGGTATGTGGGGGAGACTTGGTGAAGGGGGAGCCTAGTAAACATAATGTTCTTCATGTAATTGTAGATTAATGATACCAAAAAAAAAAATGTAACCATAGTGAGGAACTGAGATGACTATGATGGCTAAATCCTCATCCACCATAATAGAGAATCAAGAAAAAGTTCTAAATCTGATGAATAAAAAATACAGTGGTATATTCATATTATTTAGAAGTAATAACATATGTAAACACTGGAGTAAAAAGGTAGAAGAGTCAAAAGTTCTTGCCTCAGCAAAAGGGGGACAAGGCGGGGAAAACAAATGTATTCTGTTAGACAAAAGGGCAGACAACCCAACTGAAAAATGGGCAAAAGACTTGAACACACTTCATATAAAAGAATAGACAAATGATCACTTATTATGTTACAAAGGGTGCTCAACTTCGTTAATTACCAGGGAAAAGCAAATTAAAATGACAGTGAGAGATTACTACATACCCACCAGCATGGCTGGAATGAAAAGGGTACTGAGTGTTGGTGAGGATGTGAAGCACTTGCAAACAGGAGTGAGAACCAGTACTGTTGCTTTGGGAAACTGTTTGACAATATTTACCAAAACTGAACATATACATATTCAGCAATTCTACTCCTATATATCCAACAGAAATGTGGATACATTTTCAACAAAAGGCATGTATAAGACCTCACATGGCAGCACTGTTTTTTTTTTTTTTAGAGGGCATCTCTCATATTTATTGATCAAATGGTTGTTAACAACAATAAAATTCTATATAGGGGACTCAATGCACAATCATTAATGAACCCCAAGCCTAATTCTCAACAGTCTCCAATCTTCTGAAGCATAACAAACAAGTTCTTGCATGGTGAACAAGTTCTTACATAGTGAATAAGTTCTTACATGGTGAACAGTGCAAGGGCAGTCATATCACAGAAACTTTCGGTTTTGATCACGCATCATGAACTACAAACAATCAAGTCAGATATGATTATTCATTTGATTTTTATACTTGATTTATAAGTGAATCCCCCATTTCTCCCTTATTTTTTTTAATGAAATGCTGAAGTGGTAGGTAGATGGCAGCACTATTTTTAATAGCCAAAACTAGAAATTAGAAATGACCCAAAATGTCCACAAGCAGTAGAATTAAGCAAATTGTGGTAATTCATAAAATGGATTATTATATATCAATGAGAGTTAAAGAACTCAACTACATTGGTAACATGTATGAATCTCACAAATACTGAGCAAAAATCAGACATAAAAGATGTATAATTTTGTTTATTTGAAGTTCAGAAATAGATAAACTTCATCTATGTTACTGAAGTCAGTATCGTAGTTAGTCTTTGGACACGCAGAGACTGGGAAGGGGTGTATGGTGGGCTTCTGGAATGCTGGTAATGTGCTGTTTGTTCAGAGGGCACAAGTTACCTAGGTATGTCCCCTTTAAAGCAAATTCATCAAGCTGAACAAGCTATAGGATTTGTTTGCTTTTCTCTTTGTACATATTTCAATAAAAATTATATTTTAAAAAGAAAAAAAATACCATGGCAAACAAGGGAAATGTGATATTTAAACATTAAAGTAACTAAATGGAATGTGTACTACAATTCTGACTATGTGAAAAAGTATATATGAGAGGACAAGAATAAAAGGTGAACATTGTTCAGATGTTAGTAATAGGATAATGGGTGGGATACTAAAGATGTCAAAGTACCCAACATGCCTATAGACTCTCCAAAGGGAAAATTTTCTAAGCAGTCATTGTTGGCACCATATCACCCTCCTTTCTTCTCAACCCACCCTTACAAGCATAGCTGCTTAGACTAAGAATAGACCCCCTGATCTGACCTGAGGGTAGCCAATAGTCCATGAGGTAGTTTGGTATGAAAAACCTGCCCAAAAAGAGAGATGCTGCACCAGGAATTTGAATTTAAAAATTTCAGAGAAAACAGGGCACTTAGTAATGAAAACTTCAACACAATATATGTAGAAAGAAAGGCCATAGTGTGAGATATGAACAATGAAGAGATGAGGAGCCATAAGCAAGCTGCGGTTACAAGTTCACCAATCCAAAGAGTAAGGAGAAGTTATAAGCTAGAGAAAAGAAAGAGAGGTAAAAAATCTGGCTGATGTCTGGAACAGAGTGAGAAGCCAATAAAAAGAGCTTCACTGAGTGCAGTATTAGAACTTGGCTCTGCCATTTAGCAGCTGTAACCTTAGGTAAGTCCCTTACCTCTTTGTGCCTTTATTGGCTCATCTGTCTAAAGGGAAGCCCTAAATTACTGGGTGTTTGTAAGGCCTAAATGAATAAATTAACAGTGCTGGGCACATAGAAAACACTTTAGAAATCTTATTAGTATCATATTCATCATCATTATCCACAAGCTCCTGCTGCTAAGGTTCCTGAAACTTCCTTGAACCAAAATGCTCTCTGGTTACAGTACCTCTCTACCTGTTCCAGATGGATTATGGTCCTGATCCTTGGAGTTCCATTACGGGACATTTTCTTTATTGTCCTAAGTATCCTTTCAATAATACTATCATTTAAAGTGTAAATTGATTTAATAAAAGAACATTGACAAACAGATTTATTAGATTACTATTAGAGAAAAATTTTATCATCACTAGAAATAGATGTAACCCAACTCCAAGTTGCTTACTCAAGAAAAACATTAAGAAAATCAATGAATTAGAATGTGTCCATGAAAACAATTCTTGATGTCCTCAATCTGAAAACACTGCCCAAAAAAACCCTTCCTGACAATCACTTTACTGGCTTTCTCTTTATCAGTTAAGTATATGATTCTGTTTTTTTCCATATTGTTCGTAACTTGGGTTATCTTTTGTTTTTCTTGAATTTCTTCATATGTTTGTCCCATCTCACCTATTAGAAGATGAACTCCAGAGAACAGGGACTTGCCTCTTCCATTCCTTTTGTGATGGCTGTGGTGTTCAAAGCAGGAGATTTCAAATAAGATGATATAGATGCCAGGGTCAAGCCCCAACTCTCTCACTTCCTATATGTCTATTTGGATAGGTCACTAAACCTGTCTCAGACTCCATGTAATTTTTCTATAAAAAGAAGATGATATTTATCTGATTTCAAAGTCCATGTGATTTTTCACTCTGCTTCTCTGACTCTGATGGATGGCATTCATTAAGAATTTTATAGTTCTATCGTCAGGCACATGCATTACAGCTCACATTCAAACCTAAAATCACCACATGGAGAGTGATAAAATAACAACTGCTAATGTTAAATGGTGGGGGCTATGTAATCTGGATTCGTGGAGGGCATTTACCTTTAACAGTTTATCTCTAAAGCAGTAGTTAGAATTAGCTACCAAATAACGTATTTCATCATTTATCATAAATATCATAGTCTGTCCCCCACCATGCTCCCCAGCAAAGTAAGTCCATTAATCTCAAGTGACTCATCACAACTTGTTGGCAGACTGAGCTTTTACCTGGCCACAGAAGAACGTGGCTTTATATTTATAGCTCTGACATGCATATGATTTAAAGCAAAAATTTCATCTGGTTTCACTTGTGATTTCAGCTTAAAATTCCTTTTCTTTCTTTTATTCCTCCAAAAATTTATGACAAAGAGCATAAATTAAACAAAAACCTTTGCAGGTCACATTATTAACTTCTTTTGCAGAATCATATTAATATCATCATCATGTTTTCTACAAATAACCAAATAAAATATTCAGGATTCTAATTAGTATATCTGAACAAAACAGAACATTAAAAGCAAAAACAAGTTCACTTACTTGACATTTCTGACGCAACTGTCGTAGTTCTTTTATAACTGGGGCTAGAGCTGACTTCTTTTCAGAAACCAGTGAATTCAGTTTTTTTACCTGTCATTTAAACAAAATACATGACATCTAAAAAAAGAATTCAAAGGAACAAAAATACTACATACATAAAGATATTTATTACAGTGTTATATACAAGAGTAAAAAAAAACTATAAATTACTTCAATGCCAAACATTGGGGGAGTGGTTTATAAAATGATTTCTCAGTAAGATAAATACCACTTAACCATTCAAAATGTCAATTATTCAGACTGCAAACCATTATGAGAAAATATTTATAATCTAACATTGAATGATTAAAATAAATTATAAAATTGCCTATATACAACTACAATGATGTTGTATTATGTAAAAAATAGATAATTATGTAGGTTACATATACATAAACATGGATGAAATGATATTCAAAATAATAACCTGCATGGCATAAGTAATGACCAATCAGAATGGATACCAGCCATAGAGAGGAAACAAGACAGGGTCTTAGAGGCCTCTGCAGTGCCAGAAGTTAATTTGTTTAGCAGTTAGATTGTGGTGAGATCCAGAGGGCTCTGAGCAAGTAACCAGTGTGGGCAAGACATGCAGAGGTAGGTACTCTGAGAGTTTGGGGCAGCAGTTATTTATCAATAAGTACAGAAATATTTCAATATTTTAATGCCCGATGAAGCTTACCAGTGCATTCTAGCTGAATAGCAGCTCTGAATATGGAAAGTTACTAAGGATATACACAAAATAATTTTGTTAGGGTAATATGATCTATGAAAACTTTTTTTTACATATTTCTTTAATGTTACTTAACTTTTTAAAAATTAAGGTATCATTGATATACACACTTATAAAGGATTCACATAAAAAGCATTGTGGTTATGAAAGTTTCTGTGATATGACTGCCCTTGCACTGTTCACCATGTAAGAACTTATTACTATGTAAGAACTTGTTCACCATGTAAGAACTTGTTTGTTATGATTCAGAAGATTGGAGACTGTTCAGAATTAGGCTTGGGGTTGATTAATGACTGTGCATTGAGTCCCCTATACAGAATTTTATTGTTGTTAACAACCATTTGATCAATAAATATGAGAGATGCCCTCTCAAAAAAAAAAAAAAAAAGAAAAGGATTTCACTTCATGCTCTAAATAAAAAGTGAGAAACTGTAAAAAAAACAACAACAACATTGTGGCTACTACATTCACCCATATTATCAAGACCCCCTCATACCCCACTGAAGTCACTGTCCATCAGTGTAGTAATATGCCAGAGTCACTACTTGTCTTTTCTGTGCTACACTGTCTTCCCCATAACCCCCCACACATCATGTGTACTAATCATAGTACACATCTCAATCTCCTTTTCCCTCCCTCTCCACCTGCCACCCCCTCCCCTTTGGTAACTGCTACTCCCTTCTTGGAGTCTGTGAGTCTGCTACTGTTTTGTTTTCTCAGTTTTACTTCGTTGTTATACTCCAGAAATGAGGGAAATCATTTGGTACTTGTCTTTCTCCGCCTGGCTTATTTTATTGAGCATAATACCCTCTAGCTCCATCCATGTTGTTGCAAATGGTAGTATTTGTTTTCTTCTTATGGCAGAATAGCATTACATTGTGTATATGTACCACATCTTCTTTATCCATTCATCTACTGATGGACACGTAGGTTGCTTCCATGTCTTGGCTATTGTAAATAGGGCTGCGATAAACATAGGGGTGCATATGTCTTTTTGAATCTGTGATCTTGTTTTCTTCAGGTAAATTCCTAGGAGTGGAATTCCTGGATCAAATGGTATTTCTGTTTTTAGTTTTTTGAGGAACCTCCATATTACTTTCCATAATGGCTGAACTAATTTACATTCCCACCAACAATGTAGGAGGGTTTTCCTTTTTCCACATCCTCCCCAACATTTGTTGTTGTTTGTCGTTTGGATGGTGGCCATCCTAACTGGTGTGAGGTGATATCTCATTGCGGTTTTAATTTGCATTTCCCTGATGATTAGCAGTGTGGAGCATCTTTTCATGTGCCTGTTGGCCATCTGAATTTCTTCTTTGGAGAAGTGTCTGTTCAGTTCCTCTGCCCATTTTTTAATCTGGTTATTTGCTTTTTGAGTGTTGAGGCATGTGAGTTCTTTATATATTTTGGATGTTAACCCCTTATTGAATATGTCATTTACAAATATATTCTCCCATACTGTAGGATGCCTTTTCGATTTACTGATGGTGTTCTTTGCTGTACAGAAACTTCTTAGTTTGATGTAGTCCATTAGTTCATTTTTGCTTTGTTTCCCTTTCCCAAGGAGATGCATTCAGGAAACTGTTGCTCATGTTTATATTCAAGAGAGTTTTGCCTATGTTTCCTTTTTTTTATTTTATTTTTTATTTTGGTATCATTAATCTACAATTACAGAAAGAATATTATGTTTACTAGGTTCCCCCCTTCACCAAGTCCCCCCCAAATACCCCTTCACAGTCACTGTCCATCTACGTAGTAAGATGCTGTAAAATCACTACTTGTTTTCTCTGTGTTGCAGAGC